CTGTATGTACACTACTGTTTGTACACTACTGTATGTACACTACTGTACACTACTGCATGTACACTAGTGTATGTACACTACTGTATGTACACTACTGTATGTACACTACTGCATGTACACTACTGTATGTACACTACTGTATGTATACTACTGTATGTACACTACTGTACACTACTGTATGTACACTACTGTATGTATACTACTGTATGTACACTACTGTACACTACTGTATGTACACTACTGTATGTATACTACTTGTACACTACTGCATGTACACTAGTGTATGTACAATACTGTATGTACACTACTGTATGTACACTACTACATGTACACTACTGTATGTACACTACTGTATGTACACTACTGTAGATTGTACTGTGTTCAATGACCTCAAAGTTAAGGCTGCCAATGTGTTCTGATTAAAAAACACTATATGTTAATAATTCCGCAGTTTACACAAATGCATGTACACTACTGTATGTACACTACTGCATGTACACTAGTGTATGTACACTACTGCATGTACGCTACTGTATGTACACTACTGTATGTACACTACTGTATGTACACTACTGTACACTACTGTATGTACACTACTGTATGTACAATACTGCATGTACACTTCTGTATGTACACTACTGTATGTACACTACTGTATGTACACTACTGTATGTACACTACTGTACACTACTGCATGTACACTACTGTATGTACACTACTGTATGTACACTACTACATGTACACTACCGTATGTACACTACTGTATGTACACTACTGTATGTATACTACTGTACACTACTGTATGTACACTACTGTATGTACAATACTGCATGTACAATACTGTATGTACACTACTGTATGTACACTACTGTATGTACACTACTTCATGTACACTACTTTATGTACACTACTGTATGTACAATACAGTATGTACACTACTACATGTACACTACTGTATGTACACTACTGTATGTACACTACTGTATGTACACTACTGCATGTACACTAGTGTATGTATACTACTGTACACTACTGTATGTACAATACTGCATGTACACTACTGTATGTACACTACTGCATGTACACTACTGTATGTACACTACTGTATGTACACTACTGTATGTACACTACTGCATGTAAACTACTGTATGTACACTACTGTACACTACTGCATGTACAATACTGTATGTACACTACTGTATGTACACTCCTGTATGTACACTACTGTATGTACACTACTGTATGTACACTACTGTATGTACACTACTGCATGTACACTACTGCATGTACACTACTGTATGTACACTACTGCATGTACACTACTGTACACTACTGTATGTACACTACTGTATGTATACTACT